AAAGTCAGGAACACCCAAAGCTATCGGTGCGCTGCATTAATCTGCGTGCTTCGAAGAGCTGCCAGTTTAGGGAAATAGTTTTCTCAGCCATTGGTATCTCCAGCCTTTGTTATTCCTGGGAGCGTGCAAATGTATTTGCTGGAATCGGTGTCGCAGAGATCACTAGCAATTCAAAGCGCTGCAGCAGGTGGTCGTGCCATAAATCCAGGATCTGCCTTTTGTCGTTTGAAGTTGATCTCTAAATACTGTGATCAGACACTTCTCTGTACTCTGTCAGCTAAAGCATGTAGACAAAGGCAACTTTAAGTCCAAATACAGGCCAGGCTGATAGATACCATCATAAGCAAGTGTTTATTAGTGAATATGGCGCAGGCAATTAAGTGTCCTGAGCTGCTAGCAAGTAGTTTCTTGCTATGTTTTAATGAGAGATAATGAAGCAGCATAGATTAACGGATTCTATTTGGCTTTAACATCACACTAGGGGGTGGATTTCCTCTTTCAGTCCTGGCAAATGTTTGTTATAAAGTTGATACCAAAAGCCCAAGTCCTATTAAAAGTAATAAGTTGAAAGATATTGCCAAGTCATGAGGCTGTCCCTTGCTGACCTTCCCTGGTAGTTGTTCTATGTGTACAATTAAAGGCAAAAGACTGCTCTAGGAGAACACTAATGAGCTTTCAGATGTAGAGATTGCTAGAACAAATGTCGCAGCTGTTTCTGTAATCCTTCCCTGCCCTTCCTTTGTGCACAGAATTTATGATACCATTTCTTTGTAGCTTTATGCTTTCTGTTTTTTCCACCTTGGGAAGTAACAGCACTGGTATGGCGAAGGCAGAAGGTCTGGAAGACTCTTCCTCGGTTGTTACAGAAGTTGTGGCTTGGAGGGAACTAACAGAAGTCAGGGAGGAGTTAAGGCCTGTTGGATGTGATGATGGAGAACTCGAGGAACCTATCTGCCTGGAGGAAAAAATGCTATGTGAAATACAGAAGGGGTGAGAAGATGAAGGGGGGAGGAAGGAGTCTCAGTTTTGAAGGCTGGGTCACCACACAGCTGCGGAGCCTGGCTTGCTTTGTCAGCACAGTCCCGGAGGGTGGCTGAGGGGCAGACGTGAGTTGCTGGAGCACCCCGAGTGGCTTAAGCAGCACTGCTGCGAAATGTGGAATGGGATCCTTCCAAGCAGTTCCTCCCGAGCCTCCCTGGGAATTGCATTGCTGGGGGAATGCAGAAGAGCTTGCATTTTCTGCCTCCGTATTCCGTGCATTTCGTCTGTTCTAGTCTATGGCTTAAGCATATAGGGTATTTCTCAGACACTTCAATATCCTCGTCAATTAATTTTCTCCCTTTACCTATATTTGAAACATCAGATTGGCTTTTCCCAAGGAATAGAGACTTTTCTAAAAGGAACCACTTGGAGCTTTTGTCCTTACTCGACATGAGCAGGGTATTTCATCTAGAATTAATGTGAAGGATTAGATTTAGCCTTGATAAGACATATTTATCAACAAGCAAACTTTATTTTCTTTAATCAAAATATGATGTGTAGAGCAGCTAGGACTTTTTATCAGCATAAAGCTCTTTGCCATGAAGGCATTTACAAACATAGAACTCCTTGTGTTGTTTAATTGTCCGTAGATTTGGCTGGGTTGAGTCATTTAATGAAAAGCAGATGGAAAGCAAAGAACTTCCTGCCCTGCGTTTTTATTATTATTATTATTATTTATAATTAGCCGATTTGATTTGCAGAGGTGATGGGGACAACATTTTAATAGAATCATAAAATATTGCAGTGGTCCATAATGCAGTACAAATAATGACTGAAGTTCAAATGAAAATGAAACACAGGGAACGGGGGAGGAGGGTTGGGTTTAAGTGCAAACTCTGCTTTTAGAAACAATATTTTCTTTGCCTGTGGAGGTGCATGCTTACAGCGGTGATAATGCAGCCAGTGCCTGAGATAAATGAAAGAAAATGGACCATACAGGAAAAGTGTCCATTTTATTCAATTCTGAAAATTCAAAGTAATAAGAAAGAATATTGGTTTTGCCTTGAGTCACTTCTGAAATTTATTTGGCAATGAAGTTTGGATTGTCAAAGCTCTCATCTCCCGGAATACTGCTGGGCTAGGTATGCTTGCAGACATGTGTACATACGTGTGTATGCATGTGCACGCAAACTATCACCTGAAAATTAGAGTTTCATTATTGCTTAACAAAATTGCTTAGCATTTTCCTTTTGCAAACTTTGTACACATGAGAAAGTCATACAAGGAGAAGTTACCTTGTAACTTCAGTATTGCACTAAGCCGTGCCCCATATTTTTCACGGTCAGTGCTGTAAGAAAATGCTTTTTTTTTCAGGTGGGATGCAAACTGCTCTCCTGACTGTTTCTCTTTATGTAAACACCACTGTAAAGATCCAGGAAGGTAGTGTGTGCTCCTCAAACCTCAGATTTCTTGAGCACTTTCCTTTTTTCCACGTTCTTCCTCTATTCTTACTCAGATACAATACTCCAATGAGTATTAGCCTAAATTATTATATTGAACTGATATCTAACCTTTCATAGCAAATAGCATTTACTGGCAATTGAGCTGGATTTCAGTACTACAGTAGATGGAATCAGCTTGTATTTATAAAGATTTTTAAAGAGCTACAGGATGAAAGGTTGCATTTGAATTTCAGATATTCGGTGAGAAGTGCATCTTCTAAATATTCATTGGTGCTGCATAGAAGAAAACAAGTGAATAGCTGTTTTGTTTTTTCCTTCTAAGTGAACATTTGGGAATTGCCTGTAGATGGTGGCTGTGTTCACTCTTCTCGTTCACTTCTGTCCATCTCTGGTTGGTCTTTTCTGGGAACAGTGTGTGTGTGTTCGTATTGTCCTCGCTCATCATTTTGGCATAGTTAACTGCAGCATGTCTCAGGTCTCTGTTTCAGTCCGTTCCTTCCCATAAGTCTGGATATTTGTGGTTTAACAATATTTAAAATCACATCTCACGTTTCACCTCATACGTGTGATTTGTTTCATGTCTTTTGCTGTCAAGAAGCATCTTGCTGTGCACCAAATCTTTACTGCACTGTGCCTTGGCATGAGAATTTGTTTGAAGGTTTCTAAACACGGTCGCTGCTGGGGAGCATCTGGTTTCAGTGGGGAAGCAGAATAAAGATGCATTTTGCAGTGGGGCAGTTAGAGCCTAAGTGAAGAAATGGGGGATAAGAAGGTAATGTTTCTTCCCCCCACCCCCAAAACAATGAGCATTTTTAAAACTTAAGGGGTCATTCTCACTGGTTCCTCAGTCTTGCTTAGGACAAAAGGAATGAATAACCCCAACAGCTCTGCCCAACTTTATGGAGGATTTTTCAAATTCCTGTCTTGTCCATTCATTTAATTTAGATTTAACATTTGAATTAAAAAAAAAAATATTCTTATGATACACAACTAAGGACACGTTAAAGGGTACTTGTTAGTATTACAAGCTGTTGTAAATTAATAATTTTTTTAAAAAAAACAACATAACAGATTAATCTTGGTCAACACACCAAATACAGATAATCCACTGAACTTCAGGAGGATTGAAATTTAGGTCTGAATCAGGCAACAGACTCTGTCCTGACCTCCTGAAAACTCTGGTGCAGCGCTGACTGAATTAATTTTAACTGCAAAAATACAAACTGAGTTACATTCATTGTGTTAGAGCTCTTGCAGTCATCACAGACTCTTAAGACGTCGTGCCTGGTTTGAAACAGGCAAGTTGCTAATCCCTGGACAAAAAAGATTGTGGTTTGAGTTTATTTTTTTTAAGAAAAATAAAAATCAGGAAGAATAAGGTACAAAGAGAACTTATATTCTGCAGATGCCTGGGTTGAACAGCCGTTTGACACTGAGTGCATAATGTCTTAGTGTTTTTATAAGGAAAATACAGAAAGAGAAAATATATGTAA